TTTCTTTATTCTGTTTTCCTTATCCTTCCCCTAATTTTTGGTCAGTGAAATTAGCACTTATTTGTCAAAACATGGAAGAATCGCAATGTCGAGTATACTACTAATGATAAAGCAACCCAGTAGACAAGTCTGTGCTTAATTCAAGAATAAACCAGTGTGAGGGAAGAATAGAAAGAAAGTAAAAGGAAAAGAAGCACCAACATTGGTGGGTGCTTTTTCTAAGGAAGAGGGGATTAACAGATGGTTCACAAAAGTATACAGAACATCGAATGTTATGTGTAAATCATTGCAAAACTCCAGCTTGAAACAGAAACCACACACACAACGTATATACTTTTGATTTACACGATACGAAGGAAAAAAAGACATTGTTACGACATCGTAGCTGTGCTAACTGCAATAGAAACCAAACAATTTCAGAGTTTGGCAGGTAACTAAGAGAGGGTTATCACTTAGGTTATATAGCAAAAAAGTGTTGATGTCTATCATCTATAGTAGTATAAATAATAAAAAAGTATTATTTAAATTAGATCACAGTGCTGGATTATGTGCATAACAGTGTTCAATAGATAACTGGAGGGTTGTGAACTATGATACTGGGGATTTAACAGTCAACACTGATAATGCGGGCATGGTCGAGAGGAGGATGCACATGGTCCAAAGGGTCTTTTGGTGGCAAAATCTAGAAGATTAAACAAGTTGCTTGTCTACCAAAAAAAAAAAATATTATAATATCCAGGCAAGCTGTGATCCACCACAAAGAAACCATTCCCATTCTGAATGAGGTGAGGTGGGTTTAAAAAAAACAAAACCAAAAACAACACATATTTAATTCAATCCCATATCCTAATTCTTCTCATCAGGTCACTTGCGAGTAACTTCTGGTTACCATTCCATTCGGTTCATTCGATGATGTGGCTGAAGGTCCATGAACACAGTGTGGGAATAACATACATTTCATTTTTTTAGGTATATGTTTGACATTACTTGGACACTGGTTAGTCCTTGTGTATAGCAGGACTTGGGGGATGGGGGGAAGGAGAAGGGGGCATGGAGTGGGAGAAGCCATCAAAAACATTTCCTCTCTAGAAGCTCCAGTCATTTGCAGCTCAGTGTTTCCTGAATCCCATTCAAGGTATGCCTGGCTTTTCACCTTAAGTGCTATGTCAGTAACAACTATGCTAGCTCCAAACACCTGAATTTGTCTTAGAAAAGGTAAAGGATTTTCAGTCCAGGTCTGTTACAGATCTTTTTTGTATTTAGTTATGTAGCTTTCCAAAAACCTTAAAACAATTGCCATGATTGCATCAGGTCAAAAATCTTTCATAGCTTGCTTAGCTGGGACCGAGTTTCTTGGGGGGGATACCACTGCAACAAAGATTTGGTAACTTCCTACATAGGTAACTGTACCAAGGAACTCCGGGAAATTTAAAGACTTGTTGGGGTGGGAAGGGAGAAGTTATGGAACACTGTGGATAGGGCAGGAAGGGAAATCAATAATGCAATCCCTTTTCTGAGTATTGAGGAAAGATTAAATGACATCTAATAGAATTTAAAAAAAACTGTCTACATGTACATCATTTAAGAAAAAAATATAAAGATATTCTCTTAAATGTGTCAGAGCCAATAATATGTGATTCTAGGTTACAGAGTACATATATGTTCTAGGCCACTTAAGGTAGTTTTAAATGCTGCTGAAATGCTGCTTGGAGCCACCAAGGACCAAAAGACCAATTATGAGAACAGAATGAAAAACACTTCCTAATGGCGAGTAGGTAAGTTTATTAGGACAAACTAATAAATGGGTATTGGAAGATGAATCAAAAGTCTGGAAGGGAATCCTAGGCCTCAAGTGGATTAAGTTTATGCAAAATATTCTTTCACAAATAGGGCTTTGCTTAATTTTTTTACTGCACTGCATGTCTCCTGTCCCTTTGCCTTCAAAGGCACTGACCATCCTGTTCTTCAACTAGGTGCATTATAAATAGCATCCCTTTTCCTCCCCGCCCCCCAGGTTCTTGGCTAAAATTTTTTTTTAAAATGTTAAATGTAAATTCTTTTCAGGTGAGTTGGCCCTAAATGCTACTAGCAAGAGTGAGAAAGCATGGCATGAAAGGTGAATTTTACAGTGATCTGCATAGAGTATTCCAGGCTTATCTTTTGGCCCCAGGCAAATGACTCTCATCTATGCTAAAAGTGCTGGTTAGTAGGTCCCTGGAATGTGGAGGATGGAGATTATCTAGATGTTAATGAAGTTTGGAATAGTGTCTCTCATTCTAGTAATATGGAAAAGATGGACAGATGCTGTCTAAACCACAGTAAAGTCAGGTACATTTGAAATAGGTTAAGCCCAAAGAACAGTAATTAATGGTTGGATGCCAGTTTGGAAGGAGGTGTCTATTAGAGCATCTTAGGGGTCAGTTCACCCCAGTGATGTGGATAAAAGGCTTAGATGTAATACTGACCAACTTGCAGATCACACAAAGCTCAGAGGGCTGGCCAACACACTGGATTGTAAAATCAGGAGCCCAAGAGATCCTAAAAGGCTAGGGCATAGATCCAAAAATTAATGAGATGAAATTAGGGGAATATATAAATAAAGTCTTACAATGGCTTCCAAAAATTAACTTCCTAAGTTCAAAATAGGTCAGGTATGATCAGACAGCAGTTAATCTGAAAAAGATTTAGGGTTTCAAGGAGATGGTAAGCTCCATGAGTGAAGAGGGATATCGTAGCCAAAAAAAATAAACAAATTTAAAAAAAAATCTGATATCGTGTGTTACATTTAGATAGGTCTAGTACAGGACAAGAGAAGGGAGAATCCTAGTGAATTTTGCCCTGGTCAGACCCCATCTGGAGAATTGTGTTCAGTTTGGGGGTGCCACATTTTAAGAACATGAATAGGATGGAGAGTATGCAGAAAAAGGTGACCAGTGAAGGGCCTTTAAGATCATGCCATATGAGGATCACTGGGATGGAACTGGGGGAAAGAGAACCAGAGGGAGACAGGTAGAGAATAGATTAAACTTGTCCTCAGAGGGGAGAGGGAAGTTGAAGAGAGACACATTTTGGGTTGTTGGAAGGAAAACCCTTCCTCACCAATTACAGCTACTGTTGAAAGGGCTTCTTCAAGAGATAGTGGGTTCCGCCACAGTAGTGGTCTTCATGGAAAAACTGCATGACCCAGTTTCAGATTTGTTACAGAGGAGACTGTTGGCCTGCTATGGACGGGACAGGATGGCCTTAGAGGCTGCTTCCAATTCAGATCCTGTGACTCTGCATTGACTCATTGTTTTGGTTATGTACAACGTGTAAGCTTCAAAATCAAGAGGAGAAGAATGAGCCCCTGCTAAAGTTGCCCCAACAAAGTGAGACTTGGGAAAAATGACACTTGGAAAGTTGCTGATTGAGGTATTTAAGCAAAAGAGTGGTTCAAGAGTAAAGAACACAACACTTAGTAAGATCTGTTTCTCAAAGAGAGCAAAACAAGAAATTACGTGATACATTTTATGGTCTTCTAAAAAGGGTCTTTGCTCATTTAAAAGTGAAATGATCAGGAACTCTTTACAGGTACTTACTGGAAGGAACAACACTTTGCCAGAATCAGGCTTGAATGCATTCTGAGAATATGGATTAAATATGATTTAGAGGGAGAGAGGCTGGGGAGGGGAATCTCTTCTATCATTCTGCAGGAATTGAAGGGTAGGAAACAATGACAAGATGGTTGGAAGGAGAACTCAGATTCACTCTGTCTTTGGGTGACCTCCTTCATGGTGCAAGGGATCTTAGTTGAGCCCGAGAGAACAGATTGCCTCCATTTCTATCCCCATTCACCCAGACAAAAAATACTCATCCTTTAGCGACAGAATCTTGCCTGAGTAATGCTGCTGAATCGGCAAAAGAGGAATTCAGGCTCAATTAACTGGTTCTACTTGTGATATATTTATAAAACAAAGAGTTCCCTCTTCACTGAATCAGAGGAAAACAACTCTGCAGTGTGGGCCAATTGGTCTTCTTCCTTTGATTTAAAGGCCTACTTTCCCTTGCCAAACACCCACAGATGGATTTGAACCCCTGGCAGGAGCCTTCTGTTTCTTAACAAAATTACTAGAGTCTTTCCATATCAGGTGGTAATTGGTTTGTTTTAATTTCAATTCACCGGGGAGGTGGGGAAAAAATATCAGATCTTTCTGTTGTTAGCTTGTCAGGTTTCTGAAAAGGAGAAAAAACCCAAGACATTATGGGCATATTTGCATTTTTTAAAAGAAATGAAAAATAAGAGGGGTTTCTGCTTTTTTACTAGGTTGTCCTGTAATACAGTATCCTCCTGATTCAGATGATTTTAGGAGAAGATTCTAGAGCACTGAGGAAATGGAGACCAGGGACTTCCTCTTGCCTCTTTTTAAATTCTATTGTTACTGTAAAATGTCCTGGGAGTTGCATTTCTACCACCTGTGTCACTGTCTCCTGAACACTGTACCGTATTTCACACCATCATCAGATAAGGCCTGTTAGCAATTTCTTCTTCCTCCTTAGGGGCAAATTTGCATAATTATTCACTGCCATCTATCCTAGAACCAAATCATCATGATTTTCTCAGTTTCAGCTTCCCATTATTCTCCTGATTCTATCATACACACTCACTACTAAATTTGCCCTCAAATTATTGCGTCATGTTAGACACGTACAGACAAAGAGAAAGGACACACTTTTTTAAACAGAGAAGTCAGGGTGGGGGAGAAGGGGGCTGAATGTTCAGACAAGGCAGTATAGTTCAACCATCCAAGCCCTACCAGAGCATGGAGTTTATTTATATATATATATACATACATATATATATATATATATATATATTTATATATATTGCAGAGTAAATTCCCCAACAGTCAGTGTTTGTCCCTGAAGAAGGTTAAACCTTAAACACCTGCTTCAAAAAAACAAAAACAAAACAAACAAAACAACAATAAAAAAAAACCCAACCAGAACAAAAAAAAAAAAAACAAAACAAAAAAATTCTAAGCCTAAAGGCTTAAAAATTAGAGGCATAGCCTTTTCTCTATTTTCTATATTTATATGAAAATAATTCATGCTTCATGCTAAATACATTATTTACCTTACAAGAACTTTGTTATCTTTGAATAAAAAAAGTTTTTTTTGTTTTTTTGTTTTTTTGTTTTTTTTTTTGTGATTTCTTGTTTTGTTTTCCTCAAAGGAATCCATGCACTGTGGATCAGATATTCTTGCTGGCTACACTGGGTGAATCTGAAAATCAATGATTTTTGCACAGATGAATCCTGACTGACATTAACTGCAAACTCCATTTTGAGGGCAGCTTAGGAGCTCTTTTTGGTAGATATTATTTTCTCGTCCACCAATATGCCTTGAAAACAATTTATTTAAACACATCATAATACTAATGGCAGGTTTTGTAGCTTCTAAATTTTTTAAAAACTAGATCAAATATTTTTTGATCCACAGAAAAAAAGCTGTATCATTATTTCCTTCCTTAATATCTACTGTAATTTCTTAGACTTGATTGCTTTTCACTCAGGCAGTTAAGAAGACATAGCTTGTTCTCTGCATTATTGTTATTTTTTGTACGCAGTGCCAATCTTCGGATTTATGGCTTCTGAATCTACTATAGAAGACAGAATTCAATGATTAGTGAGATCTCTAACCATTTGCCCTATTTCTTTCTCATCATTCACTGAAACCCATCACATACACAGTTCACTTTCCACCACTTAAAAAGGTATCAGTCTTTACATTTCTAAGCCACGGGGTATGTAAAAGCAGGAAACCACCGTGCCTGACATGTGGCAACTCCAAACTTGCAACGTCACCACTGGAACCCACAGTGCCCCTGACTGGTTCCCGGTTCTGTCGAGATGGAAGGGCTTCCTGCTTTCCCCAAATATCCTTAATTCACATTCAAATCTTTAACCCAATCGTGTGAACATTTTAATTTCTTAATCCTAGGGGTTGGGCCTGACCAATGACTGATTTGTGCACATCTCCTCTAGGTGCCAAGGGGTAACTGGTGCCAAATTGTACTTCCATTGCATTAAAGCGGGTGTCACGGCATAGTCAACCATGTATTCTGACAAGCTGGAGAAAGCAACGTAAATTTTGGCTTTTATGGTTTTGTCTTCAGATAATGAAAAGCTTTTGTAAAACAGCTGAGTGTCAGTACGAGTTCTATGGCTTCAATCTCCTTTAAAAATAAAAAATCTTAAGGGTCCAAAAAAAAAAAATTAAACCAAACCAAAAGGGAAAAAAATTGCTGATATTGCCACAAATCATTAGAATTCTCCTGACGTGCTGAAACAAAATTTTTTTTTACTAAGTTCAAAACAAATCAATGATTTGTTTTAATTTTTTGTGGTTTCCTTTTGCTCTTTCTGCCCCTTTGCCGTCCGATTGGTGATGTTGTTCAAGCAGGATCGGATTCCTGCTAAGTGTAAGAGAGACCCAGCTGCTTCCTTCATCTCCTCATCATCACTCTCAGGGGGCTTCTCTGTGCGTCGCTTTTTAAGGGGCAGCGTATCACTAGGGACTTTCCTCACCTTGGATAAATGCTGCCTTTTCTTGTGCTGTGACGCATACCCACTGTCAGCTAAAGAATCCTTGGTCTCCTTTCTGTTATGCTTCCTGTCATCCTCTTCGGTTTCACTATGGCTCTCGTGACTCTGGAAGCTAATCTCACTGCCCTCACAGCTGCCCTTTGTAGCAAACTCATAATGGTCATCGGCAGAGGAAGAAGAAATGGAGTCACTGGCTGGGGAGGTGCTCCTGGGGTTGGAAGATTTGGCACTGCTATAATTGTGATCTTCCTTTGGGTCACCACTAACAACTGGAGAGCCACAGGACTGCTCACTTTCTGTCCGCATCCGACAACTGGTCATGCCATTCCTGAAGAAAGGAGAGAAGGTATGGCATCAAAACAGGCAGGAAAAAAATATCAAACAGTTTTTGCTTTTGACTACAGAAAAAATTATTTTCACCTCAGAAAGGTCAAATTGTGATCAAGTTATTCAAGATTGAGCCTGGTAACTTGGCACTGCTATACCTGAAAGAACATCAGATCTCCAATGGGAGAAGTAGAAATGGTGTGAAGAAATGGTCACCAATACTAGTGCCGCAATAGCCTATATTAGTCTTCCATCAATGATATTTTCATTCAGTGTGGATAACCAGGGAGTCAAAACAATCCTTCTCTGATAGTTGGTGGAAGCTTATTATCTTAAATAAGTTTTGAAAAATCAGGCTGTTGTTCCATTCCATGAATTTTTAGCAAAGATTATGGAATCAGAAAGCATCTCATGTTGGTATGGATGGACACTTGAAGGTGAATGAGAAAGCAGTCTTTTCTCAGGGCAGTTGCTCACAGGAAAAAAGAGTTATGGTGTATATAAATATACATACATGCATACATACATATGTATATATACATACACGTGTGTGTGTGTGTGTGTGTGTGTGTGTGTATTTCCAGGAGATTAAATATAAGGCCAGGGATGGAGAGATGAGTTGGTAGGATGCTCATCCACGCAGGGTGGTCAACTTCTCTCCCACTGGATCCTTAAGACCTAGATATTAGGTTCAGAAGTGACCTAGGGAACATTTTCCTCATCTGTAAAACAGGGGCAGTGATTTCTAACAGATCAGGGACTTAGAAACCATTCTTAGCTCATGGGCTGTATAAAAACAAGTGCTGAGCTCAATGTGACTTGTAGGCTATAGTTTGCTGACCCAATACATATGATTGCTAAGATACCTTCCTAGTTCTAACAAGCTATCTCTTTGATGATCTATATATCCAGCCCTACTCTCTCCTGAGTTCCAGTTCCTAAATCATCAACTGCCTAGTGGACATTTCTCAGTGAATATCCCATACTCATCTCAAACTCAATCATGTTTAAAATACAACTCATTAACTTTCCCCATAAAACACAACCTTTTCTTCCTAGTGTCCCTATTTCTGTTGATAAAACCACCTTTCAGGAATCTAAGTCCACAACTTTTAGAGAGATCTTTCATTGCCTGACCAACCCTATCCCCCTTCTTTTCAACAGACTCCCAAAGCTTGTCAATTATGACTCCATAGCATTTCTGACATCCATTTCCTTTCTCTCTACTAACATGGCCACATCCATAAGTCAGGCTTTAAATTAACTATCATCTGCTATAATCTCTTATTACTAATCAATCAAGCAACAGAAATTTAGGTATTTACTATGTGCCAGGTTAGGGGAATGCAAAGACTAAAGTAAAAACATTCTCTGTCTTCAAGCATGTAAAAGTCTAACCAGAAAAGGCAACATATTCATATATAGAGGTATAGAAAAAACACACATACAAAATAATTTCAGGCGGAAAGTACTAGTAGGTATGGGAATCAGAAAAGGACTCATGTAGAAGGTGGCACCTGCGCTGAGTTTTGAAGATGAACAAGGCCTCCTCAGGGTCAGAGGTGAGGAGTAAGTGCATTCCAGGCTTGAGGAGATAGCCAAAGCAAAGGTAGAGAGGTGGGAGAATGTCTTGTGTGAGGAACAAGAAGGATAGTCTGGCTGCATTGTAGTGTATGTGAATGGAAATAATATACAATAAGGTAATTGGAAAATTAGGTCGGGACAAGGTTATGAAGGGCTTTAAATGTCAGAGAGAGTTTATATTTGATCCTGGAGGTAATATGGAACCAATGGAATGTACTAAGAGTGAAAAGCATACTAGAAAATGGCATGATAGAAAACTCACTTTGGCCACTCTGTGAAGGAAGGATTGGAAAGGGGAAAAGACTTGGAGAGGAAAGACCAATTAGGAAGCTATTACAGTATTATAGAAGCGACCAGGCTCTGAACCAGGATGGTAGCTATGTGAGTAGGAAGGGGACAGATGTGAGAGATGTTGTGGAGGCAGAAATGACAAGATTAAGCAACTGAATTGATGGGTAAACTCAAGCCTCTCCTCTTTATAATTCACCCTCTACTGATTTACCAAAGTGACATTCTGAAAACAAGTATAATCACATGACTGGCCTGATTTAAAAAACAAAAACAAAAACAAAACAAAACAAAAAAACAACCAGTTCCAATAGTACCTTATCTGGAATAAAATATAAGCTTCTCTATTTGGGGCTCAAAGGTCTTTGTAATTTGGCTCCAAATACCCTTCCAAGATGACTATACATTATTTCCCTTTAACATCCCCTCAACATCTACCTCCCAGGGTTGTTGTAAGGATCAAATGAGATATTTTTAAAATGCTTAGTACAGTGCCTGACACATAGTAGGTACTTAACAAATGCTTGTTCTCTTCCCTTCCTCTGCTTCCTGGACTTCACATTCCAATCAAACTAACTTACTATTTCTTTTATATTACATTTCCTACCTTTGTGACTTTGCACAGGCTGTGTCCCATGTATGCAATGTACCTCCTCATTATCTGCTCTTAGAATCCTTCTCTTTCTTCAAAGCCAAGCTCAAATGCTAACTCTTAAAGGAGGCTTTCTGGAATTATACCCCCTCCCCATTAGTACCAAAGCTCCAAAATTGCTATGTATTTACTCTATGTTTTGTATAAACTTCTATGTATACATGTTGTTTCCCTAGAGAGACTATAGGCTCATTAAAGGCAGGGACTGTTACATTTCTGTCTTCCTTTGCCCAGAGTGGAGCAGAGTGCCTGGAACCCAGGAGGCTCTTGACACTTTATTGAATTTATTGACTTTTGAGGAAATCCTGGTAGTAGGTGGGACTTCTTTCATGAAGGGCTATGAAAAAGGGGATGGTTCCATCATCATTATCTTTCATCAGTGAATACTTCTATTAGTCAGTCCTTCTGGCATGATCACAGGATAAAATTTATTTTAGTCAGAATGGGTGGGAAAAAGGGCACCCTGGTTAAGTCACTATTTTTGGTTAAGTGGGCATTACTGTGCCCACATCACTAACTTCCAACAAATGATAATATAATTAACATGAAAATTCTAACAAATGTAATTTAATCTTCAAATATTCAGAAGGGACATCGGGATCTTGCCTCAGGGTCATCATGATGAACATTAATTATCACTCCATAGTCCTGTGGGAAAAATTCTAGTTACTTGAGCTTTGGGTATATTTGGATGCTGGATAAAAGGGAACATACTGTACAAAACTGAGCAAAAAGCAGATGTGTCCTGCACACCCTGGGTCAGCACTGGAGTCACCTTGATTCACTGACCTTGGACAGTACTGACTTACTAAAACTTCAGTGGCTTGGACAAGAGAATCCACTACCCCTCCCAAACTTGTATTGACCCCAAAGACCTGGGAGTGTGAAAAAGAACCTTCAAACATGTGTATTTTCAACCTCAAGTGACAGTGACTCAGCCATCATTGGGGAAATGTGCTCCTTGGAACTAAATTTCAGACATAAATGGAGTTTGATTACTCCTTTCTCCTTCAAAATTCCAAAACTTTTGAAATTTTAATGTCTGAAGATAGAAACCTTGCTATAATGCGTAATCCTCTTCTCCTATCTTCTAAAACTAGGTGTGGCAAAATCTCAGCCATCCAGAACCCTTGAGGAATGAGAGTTGGGGGAGTGGGGCGAGAAGGAGAAGAGAAACAGAGGAGGGAGGGAGAATGAGAGGGGAAGGAGGACGAGATCGATATAGTGAGATACAGATGGATGAGAGATAGAAAGAGAGAGAAGGGAAGACAAAGACAGAGAAAGATGGGGGAGAGAGAGAAAGAGAGATGGGGAAGAGACAAGGGGGGAAAGTAAGGGGGGGAAGAGAGAGAGACAAGAGAGGGGAGAGAGACAAAAGAGAGATGGGGGAAGGGAGACAGAGAGACAGAGACAGAGAGCGTCAGAACTTTTAATACTTACTAATACTAACACTAGGATGCCCTTTTCCCCAAATAATTTTATACTATGATCATGCTACAAGGACTAACTAATGTTCAGTGATGAAAGATAATGATGATAGAACAATCCCCTTTTTCATGGCCCTTCATGAAAGGAGTCCCACCTAATCTTGGGGAATAGTAGTGATGATGATGATGGTAGCAGTAGTAGTAGCAGTAGTAGTAGTAGCAGCAGCAGCAGCAGCAGAAGCAATAGCTAGCATTCATATAGTGATTTACAAAGTGTTCTGCATCTTATTTGATCCTTACAATTACCCTGGGCAGTAGATAACAACTGTTATTCCCATTTTACATTCAAGAAAATGGACACTAAATTGAATGACTAATTTGGAACGAGATATTGGTAGTTGGTGGGACTCTTTCCATGAAGAGGTATAAAAATTAACCTGAGCCTCAGTTTTCTTATGTCTAAAATGAAGATGGTTAATATATTCTTCACAGTCTTGTTGTAAAGAGAATACTTAAAGAGAAGTTATTATCATTATAGAATAGGTGGTCACATTTTCTGGATGGCTGAGGATAAATCATTTAAGTGTTGGAACATTAAAAAAAATTGAGCTGTTTTGAGGAAAGTCTTTCTGAAATGCATCATACACTTTTTTGTTTTGACACATCAAATTTTCATCAATAACTCAAAGTTATCATTATGAAGAACAATTACTTGGGATGTATTCTAGTGTAGTTACACATTAGGAACAATATAAAATAAATGCTGCCACAAAGTGGCCAACTATCCTATCCAGCATGCCTTTAGCATAATACGTTGATACTCTCAGTGCAGGTCAATGGATCATAGATTAGAGAGACCTAAGAAATCATCTATTCCAAAATTTTCACTCTTAAAGATGAGAAAATTGAAGCCCAGAAAGGTTAACTCATTTGCCCAAAGTCACAAATAAAGATGGTAAGCAGCCTGGCTAAGTCTTGAACCCAGGTCTTTTGATTCCAAATCCAGTCTCTAATAACTCCTGGTGATAGCTGATCTAATTTTTGTCCTTT